ACTCTACTGCTTCATTTCTACTTCTATGTAATTTTCTCCAAGGACATATTTCCTCCTTTAATATTCTTGTCACCTATCAGCAACCCATCTTGTTTTGGTGATTAATTTCTTCCTGGAGACAGGCATAAAAGCTTTCATTCCTACAGCTGTAATAGCAAAGCTGGCATCTCAGTTTTGACTGTTCTGCCTTGGTTGACTCGACTGCTGTACCTCAATATATTGCAATTCTTACGGTATCATAAAATATCCCAGTGAAAGTATTTTTATTCTGGTTGGTGCTGGTTACATACAGGGCCATTCCAGTGCTTTGAAGAACGCTACCTTATCTGGACATCTGCTCTCATTAAGCTCTTGAATGAACCAATGCTTGGATTTTGCTTTGAAGAACGCTACCTTATCTGGACATCTCATTAAGCTCTTGAATGATCCAATGCTTGGATTTCCATCGCTATTTTCACAGAACCATGAAGTTGGAAGAGGCCTACAAGGCCATCAAGGCCAACCTCCTGCTCAGGAATACAAATCAAAGCATATCTGCCACGTCTAAATTTCTCTTGGATGCCTCCAGGGTTGGAGCATTCTCCACATTGCGAGGTACTGTAATTGGTTCCATTGTTGTACTGCTATAACAGTTAGGAAGTTTTTCCTGATATTCAACCATATAACGTCCTATAACATGAGCTCAAGGGCCATCAAGGCCAACCTCCTGCTCAGGAATACAAATCAAAGCATATCTGCCACGTCTAAATTTCTCTTGGATGCCTCCAGGGTTGGAGCATTCTCCACATTGCGAGGTACTGTAATTGGTTCCATTGTTGTACTGCTATAACAGTTAGGAAGTTTTTCCTGATATTCAACCATATAACGTCCTATAACATGAGCTCAAGATTTGATACTCCTGATATTCAACCACAATCTGGCTTCCTATAACGTGAGCTCAAAATTTGATACCTTTTAGTCTTCACAAACTTTCCAAATCAAACCCAGATTTTAAATGTGCATCTAATATTTGTTATTACCAATTGTCCGAAATCCTGTTTTTTTTCCAGCTTTTCTCCTCATCATTACAAACTAGAACAAAACCATCATACAATTCAACTTCTTTTAATAGCTGTCAATATTTTACAAGAACTTCACATGTGGGACAAGTGTCCCTATTGCCAGCCCCTAGTCACACAAAAGAACTCCAGTATGGGTGCAGGAAATGCCTTAGCTTTTCTGCATCTCAGGTATAGCAGAAATGTGCCAGGCAGACCCACAGGTAGGATGTATACTGCAATGTATCCTTTATTATATATACATATATAAATACTCAATTTCCAAATACATCTTCTAGTTTGTATATCTGAAAGATGAGCCATAGTATCGGACTGTGATATCTCGCTACCTAGACAATACACACCAAGTTTATGGTCTCCCCTCCCCTCCCCTGATGCTTTATAAAACAGACTGTGAAGTGATCTGAGCACAGCCGAGATTCTGGAAGCTTTAAATAATAATCATGTGTCATCAACTCAATTCTGACTTATGGGAACTGCTTGTCGAAGGTCACACAGGCTGGTTCTTCTGGGAAGAGGGGAACTGAACTCCCAACCTCCAGCTTCACAGCCAGAGACCCAACTCATTTCACTTCCCAGCAAGTGGTTCCTTCGAAATACTTTGGTCTTATTCCATCTGCACTCATACATAACTAGCAATAGCCCAACGTGGATGTACATGTGCAACTTGCATCAGCAAATGCCTGATGATGATGATAATGAGGGTCACATGCATCCTGACACTTCCTTCCATCCTTTGACGTAATCCATACAATACTGAGAAACTCTTGTGGTACCTGCAGAACTTGGAAAAATGACTGTTGCAGTCTACAACTCATGGAGTCTCTGAGAAGTATCTCTTCCAAGGTTTGTGCACCCATACCGTTGACAAACCAAGACAGCATCTTAAAAAGCAGAAACATCACCTTGCCGACAATGGTCCGCATAAAGCTATGGATTTTCCAGAAGCAATATATGGAAGTGAGGGCTGGACCATAAGGCTGACTGCCAAAGAACTGATGCTTTTGAATGGTGGTGCTGGAGGAGGCTCTTGAGAGTACCCTGGACTGCAAGGAGAACAAACCTATCAATTCTAAAGGAAATCAACCCTGAGTGCTCACTGGAAGGACAGATCCTGAAACCGAGGCTCCAATCCTTTGCCCATTTCATGAGAAGAGACAACTCCCTGGAAAAGACTCTGATGTTGGGAAAGTGTGAGGGCAAGAGGAGAAGGGGATGACAGAGGACGAGATGGATGGACAGGGTCATCGAAGCGACCAACATGACTTTGACCCAACTCCGGGCGGCAGTGGAAGACAGAAGGGCCTGGCATGCTCTGGTCCATGGGGTCACAAAGAGTTGGACACAACTTAACGACTAAACAACAACAACTACTGTTGGCAGCATGCGGGAAGACTAGTTACGAAGGCCAACCACTCCTGTTTCTTGGGACATTTTTGAAAGAAGGGCTTGTTTTTGACCTCCATCCCCACCTGGTATTTTTACTTCCAGAGCAATTAATGAATATTTCCTCAATATTTATATTGAGAAGCAAAGCCTTTCTGGTGAGGGTAGTAGAAATCATATACTGTAGAATATTCACAGACTTTCCCTGGCCAGTGTGCTGAATATGTTCCAGTACCTGCGGAAGAAACGGCAGGTTCTTGTGTAAGGTTGTGGATTATAAAGGGTTTTCCTGCTGTTGCTTCTGGGTTTTTTTTTGTGAGGCCAAGCAATTTCTGAAAAGTATACTGCAGGCTGCGAAAGGCGCAGCCTGGGGCAACCCAAATGCCAAATTGGAACATCAAGGACAAATGGCAACCTTTGGGGCTGTTTAACTAGGGGGGAAAAGATAAATAAAGACGGGATAGGAGCAGTTAGAATTCATCATAGTGTACAGAAGAGTTGTAGGGGGGAATTCTCTTTGTTTTTTCTCCTAATACTAAAACCCAGCCTCATCCACTGAAGCTGGATGGTGGGTAATTCAGGTCAAAAGGAGATACAATATTTCTTTGACAGATAAATGGAAGCACTACATATCTCAGTTAAACTGTGGAACTCACTGCCACAAGAAATAGGGATGGCTGCCAACTTGGATGACTTTGAAAGGCGACTGGAACAATCCTCGCAGGCATCTGGATTGGCCACTGTGGGCTCATCCACCACGGCCCTTCTGACACTCACAACTGTTTGGCATTTTTTGTTTTTGATTTCATTAATTTTTATTGCTTTACGGAGCTACAGAAGGACCCCCACCATCCACGGGATCAGTATCCACTGATTCACTTGTCCACGGTGTGAAAATATGAAAAATATTTTTAAAAAATGATTGGAAACATATATTTCTAACAATGAATTTACCAGAATTGGCCAGTAAAGGGAGGCAGGGATCAACAGCATTTGCTATAATCCACATTTTTCAGCATCAGGTGGGGTGGGGGCGCTTGGAAACAATCCACCACAATGTGGGGGTCCTGCTATATACTTATTCCTGTGTTGACTGTGTTCCTGTGCTGCTATTTCATTTATTTATTCCAGTATATTACTCTTTTTCTTTTTCTTGGACACGCTGATATTTTTTCAAATTGTCCTCACAGAGAATAGCCCTGTGGTTTCTCTTTGTAAGACAAAGAAGGATCCACGTCTGAAAATATAATGTTTCTTTGGGGGCACCTGTAATCCCATCTAATGAACAAGAATAGCACTACCAGATGCTAAGAATCTTATGCTTTTCTACATTGCAACAGTTTTCCTTATATAAATTTAAATATATAAATTAAAAAATATGCTTTTAATTGTAATGTATGTTGTTGTATTCCTGTTTTCACTGTATATTATGGTATTTTGTTTTGCGCTTTTAATTTAATGATGTTGTCTTATTTTGTTATTCTATTGTTGTAAACTGCCCAGCATGGCCTTGGCTGCCATAGATGAGCGGTATATAAATAAAATAGAATTAAATAATTAAATAATTAAATAAATAAATATGGCTACTTGACTGTGCCTTGGAGGTAGTTTCCAGCCTTTGTGGGTCACTGGACACTTGCAGAATTTTGAAAAACTGTCCAGGGCAGTTACAAATGTCACAAATTGTGGGCAAGGGAGACAGAAGTGGAGAACGTGCCCATTCACACGCGTGACCTTTCCTCTCTCTGACCTCTTCTCCTGAGATGTTACAGTGGAAGAGTCAAAACTGCC